GTTTCATCTTTAAAGAACATTAACTGACTACCACTCAATATGACACCATATATTCTCCAACTTCTTATGAAACCAGTTTTCTTTTTACCATCTATTAAATCAACCTTCCTTCCAAGTTTACCACTTTTAGTTATCTTTAAAAGAAAAGTTCCGTCTTCATTTGTTGATTGAAGAGAACCAGAAGTGTTTTTAAAAGCATGACTTTTACGCCTGTTTTGAACACCCGTGATTCTAATCGTGTGAGGCGCAGAGAATGCACGATGAAGATCAGCAATATCTAAAGCTGGAAGGGTTCCCATATAGGAATATGGATTTTCTATAGGGATGATATCTTTAATTTTGGGTTTAAATTCAGTTGGTAATTTCTAAAAATTGAAATGAATTTTATAAATCTTAATGATTAAACAATTCAATTAATTGGATTAAAAACTTACAGTTTGTATAACCCAATAAGGATCATTCTTGGGGCGCGTAGACTTCCTTCGTTCCTTGGAGGGGAAAAATTTCATTTGACGATGTCGTGTCGGAGATTCAAGCATGGTCTGTCCATTAACATCAGTATCATCTTGAGCATATATAAATTGAGCAAAAATGATATTATCATAAAGGATCTATAAATAATAATTTTAATACAGTATAAGTTAATAGCAAATAGGTAAAGGAAGTATTTATGAAAAGTTAATGATAGAAGTACCTCTAAGATTTCTGGATTAACACCATCAATACGTGTATTCTTGACAAATTCTTCTTTTGTCATCTTTCTCCTCACACTTTTATTGTAAGCATCTGTGTGAAGCATCAATAAAGAGAATGCAAGAATATAAGAAGTATCTAAAACAAAAGAACAGACATAACAAAGTTAACATGTTTAACAAGGTAACACAACATTTCAACAATCGTAATTTACCAGCAGAAGGAAATAAATCAGGATTTGATTCATGGTATCTTTTCGCAAATGCTTCTATAACACGATCAATTTGTTGAGTTTCTTTTGGTAAATTGCAATCCATTAAAAGTTTCCTTATTAACGAAATTTAATAATATACATAGTTATTTTGAGATTTGATTAATTATTTATGAACATTCGTTTTTGTATATACCTTAAGGCAAGATCAATAGGAACTTTTTCAAATTCAAAAGATTCCATGTAAGCTTTAAGAGCAGATTGATGAAATGCATCGGCTCTATAAATTAATAAAAGCAACATGTTACGGTTTACACATAAATACACGTTTAAATACGTATAAATCCTAATATATATAATTACGCAATAACCAAACACACTTTTGAGCTAGTATAGTAACCAACTTTGATTTCGAAATACTATACATCATTCTTTCAAGATATTGTTTTGGAGTTTCACTATCAGATTTTGCTTCGAGTCCATTCAAATTTGTCATCGACTTTGTCGAAGAAATTTTATTTAAATTCTTAGTCACAGGCATAAAAGGAATGTTTAGAGTAGGAGCAGATCCCATACGTTTAAGTTGACGTTTTCGAGGTTGTTTCGTACAGGTAGTGTCTTCACTATCGATGGCGGATACAGAGTTTCCGACAACAGAACTTTTGGGCTTCGGTGAAGAATTAGCATTAACTATAGTTGAACTTCTATTACGTCGAAATTTATTTTCTAGGAGTGAAGATACAGGAGGTTTTATAGGAGAAAAAATGGCAATTGGAACATTTGAAGACGAAGAATTTGACAAAATATGAGGAACAGATATTAAAGATTCATCATGGTTTGACTGGTTAATGTTTACTGGCAACGAAGATTTAGTAGGAAGTATATCAATAATTGGGGGACCAAGAATATTATCATCATCAATCGACTTCTTTACATCATATACAGACGAAGATTTTGCAGGAACAATATTAATTAGAGGGCGAGAGTCATACATATTATTATGGTAAGTATATAATGAATTATAATTTCCTTTCATTGGATCCTTGATAGAAGATGGCACAATTGGTTGTAAGGTTGATGAATTACAAACGTTCTGGGTATTACACACATCTTCGGCAACAGAAGAATTACATTTGTCAGATTCAAGTGGGTTAATATTGGGATTCCCGATATCGGGATTATTATCAGGGATTTTAGAAGAAAAAGTGGTTGTGACCGTAGTAACGGTAGTTGTAGTGGTAGTTTTTGTAACTGTTGCACCTTCAGTCGAAGTTGTAGGGCTTAATAGTTTTGTTTCGTCAGTTATCTGATCTTGTTTAGGAACATTTAAAGTAGGAATTTTAGTAGTAGTGGTGGTTATTGTTTTTGCGGAAGGACAGTCATTTCGTGGTTGAGGAGTTATAGCAGATTTTGCAGAAGTCGATTTTCTCCTGTTTGATAAAAACATATTCGCAAATAATTATATATATAAACGAAATCACAAAAATGAATGAATAACATGTGAATATTCGGCAGAAAGGAAAAGAAAGCAGATTTGTGTATAAGACGGATTTCCTCTACAGATTTTGTTATAACTAAAACGAAATCTACGAAATCTACGAAATCTGTAAAGGGATCGAAATGAAAGAATGGAAGAATCCGACAATGTAGCTCATGAAAACTTTTTGATTATATACCTATTGGTTTGGTTGCACGCATTTATGTGAATTGCTGGTTATTCCGTCACGCATTGTCATTGAAGATTAAAATGACTGGACACTTTTATATTTGATTCGATGTTATTACACCTTTGCATAGAAATTCTTTATATGGTATGTACAAGACATCTACGTACACAAATGCAATCAAAAAAATCTGTGTCGGATTTTTTTTGATTGTAATCAACAACATTACGAAAAAAATTTCTCTATCTTCAAACTTGCTTATGAAACTGCTTAACAAAAAAGATTTTTCTCATAATTTTAGTATAAGTATTGTTTCAAATTTTTTTCAAACTCTACCTTTAAATTGACAACAACCTCGAATGCAAGCCAATGTCGATCAATCTAAGCCGCATGATCGACAAAACATTTTTGTTTGCTCATTTACACAAAATTTTCCGGTTTCGTTATTTTTAGAATTAAAGTTAGTTATTAAGACTAATTGTATAAGTTGTTGCTTAACTAAATAATATATTAAATAAGTTTAATTTTATTAGTTAAAATTTTATAAAAGTTATACGTATTTTTAAGTATTTTCAAACTTTATTTGTATAATTGCTACGTATACAATTTTTTTTTTTAATAATTTTTTTTTTTAATAATTTTTTTTTAATAATTTTTTTTTTTTAATAAATTTTTTTTAAATAATTTTTTTTTTTAATAATTTTTTTTTTAATAATTTTTTTTTATTGTGTTAATGATAGTTATTATTTTTATTAATGTTTAATTATCATTTTACACCAAAAAAAAAAATTAATGTTTAATTATGTATATTATATAGATTTGTACAAAGATAAGTATACAACTAGTTATATATATAACTTTTTTTAAAATATTAACAGTAAGGCCATGCCTCTATCTTTATTAAAACTCAATTAAACTTTTTACAAGTAGAATATACAGAAAAAATTTATATTTGAATTTTATATCTATAAAATATTAAGATTAGAGACTCAGACAAGTTATCTGTGACCTAAACCTATATACATATAACTTTTAATTGCTTATTTAAATAGTTTGCTTAAAAGTTTTATATTATTTGTTATATTTGCAATTTATTAGAAGATTATTTTTTTTTTTAATATTAATAGAAGATTATTTATTTAAATTTTCTAGTTTTTATATTTATCTAGACAAATAACACTTGGTTTTTGTATACTTATTATTATTTAACTAAATATTAAATTTTCTTTTCTGAACTTATTTATAAATTGTTATTTATACTATTTAACAATAAGCTCAAAAAAATTTTTTATTAACTTATATATTATTTATTTTACAATTTTATTAACAGACTTATACTTTTATAAAGTTTATATAAACTTTATATTAATTTTATAATATATTTTTAGTATTTTAATATATTTTATTTTGTTTTTAAATTTTTAATTTAGATAGTCTAGAAGAACTATAACCTTTTTTTGATGTATTAAATTTAGTCTAATATTTTTTTTCCTAATTTGAAATTCAATAGTTTAATTAGTAAATTCATTTATCTTAACAGATTATATTTTGTTTAATTTTTTTATCTTAGTATTTATTTTTTAATTTAATTTTTATAGTTGTATTATTAAAGATTTATGTTATTCTTTGCTTAGATTTTTCAAATATATTTTTGTTTTTTTGGTTTTTTTTTTTTATGATATTAAGGTAACCTTTTTAGTCTTTTGACTTTTATTAATCATTTATTGGTATTGTGGTTCAATGAACCACTACAAAAAAGCATACAATTGGCTGCATATGTAACTTTTCTATATTACTTATTTAAGGAATCTGCCTAAAGCTTCCCTACCAATTGTCATATCTAACACTCCTGTTTGTGTATTCTACTTTAAACCCTTTGAACCTGTAATCTGTGTTAACATCACTAGGTCATACTCAGATGTTCAGATTATCATCTTAATCTTAGAACTAATTTATCCTTGAAGTAAACCTTCCAGAGCCTTCTGTTTCTATTTTTATAGCTGATCTAGGTATTACTATAGCAGAACTAATACTTATAGTCAGAGCTAACTATTAAACCACTATGCCTTTGTAGAGTTTACTTAGATCCCAGCATCTATTTTACAGCATAACTCTAGTACTTTAGTATACTCCTGTCTTTTTATCTGTCTTTTTACCAAACTCCTAATTCAGATAGTTCATATAGGACTATGACCAGTTTATCAGTATATTAGATCAGTCTAATATCTTTTTTTTTTAGTTCATTCTGGCAGCCTAGTTGGTAGTACCTTTAAGACTTCCAATCTGGAGATTCTTGCCTATCAGGTTACTATAACTAGGTACTATAATTTTAGTATCTGTTTCTCCAAGCTAGGGTCGATGATTTTTTGCAATGGTTTAACCTGAATTCTGTACATAGTTAATGCAAATTCTGTGACTTACTGTGGTAAATTTTTTTTTATGAATTCTGTGCAATCTTATAAATTATATATAATTCTGTGATAATAAAATACTAATTCTGTGACTTAATATGCAAATATATAAAAAAATTTATTTGTATCAAAAATAAATTTGCATTATCTTTTTTAAAAACAAGATAAAAAAAAACAATAAAAAATTAAAAAAAAAGTTCATACTACTATATACCTATTTATTTTGATAGCAAAAAAAATAAAAAAATAATAATAATAAAAGCAATTATTCTCTATTAAAATGTAACATATTTAGTTGTTTTAAAGAATCAAGTAAAAAACTTTGATGATCACTATTTAAAATATTATTATATATAAAAAAACTACATTTAATACTGCAACTAGATGCTGGGAGCCAAATATAATTTAGTACTATTTCTGATAAATTTGGTAAAATTAGTTGCATTGCCATCTAATATTTATGAAAATTAGTTATTTTTTTAGTTATTTCATTAACAGATTCAAAATAAATAGTCTATTCTTGTAGAAGTTCATTTGATAAGTTGTTAAATTCAGTAATTGCTAAGTATTGATGAATATCTCTATGAGAAATATCATCTATTTGATTTCCTATTTTAATATATAGGGGATCAAAAATGTGACAAATACAAAATAAAGAATAAGCAGGATGCTAGGAAATATATACTGCATATTTATTATATGCAACTACAAATGCTGATCAGAATGTTTTATAAATATTATCTGGATTAAAACATAATTGCATAATAAGATTATACAAATCAGTTTCAAAATTTTGTGTTATAATATTTCCTTCTATAAATGATGAAAGTTGTTTAAGCCATCTTTTAATATAAGGAAATATTGGCTTATTTTGTTGTTAAAAAAATCCAAATCATAAACAAACTCTTGTATGAAACATGAAATAAAATTAATATAAATTGTAATCATGCCTTTTTTTTGTTGATCTTGTAAAATCTTATTAATTTCAACAACTAAATCAGAATTCATATCTTTTTCATATTCTTCTAAATAAAAAAAAACCCAATATTCAATATAATCTTTAGCATAAAATATTATTTTAAACTACAAATTCCATTATATCTTATTTGGTAATAGAATTTTATATAAATTACTAATTTTATACATTCTAAGATGATTTAAATAATGACATTTATATGCAAGTGAGTTTGTAAATGACTCTTTAACTTTTAATAAAAAAACTTTTAAAAGATTAAAATTAGAAAACACTCACCAAGTATCACTAATACATATATAAAAAACAATAATTATATATATATAATATACTTTAAAATAAAATTAAAATACTTAAATTTATATTTACCCAATTAGGTTAATAATATGCATGTAACAAAATACATAAACCAATTGTGGCATTATGGGTTTTAATATTTCATGATAGTATTTTTTCATATAGACTGCAGAATCAGATAAAAATATTTTTGGTAAAATATAAGGAATATTATATTTAACTAAAATAGTTAATAATACTCCTTTAATTGTTGAATTATTTATATTTTCTAAAAAATTAACTGAAACTAATTTAATATTTTAATGAAAAGCAAATAAAGTATTTACTACATTATGTAAACAGTCATCTGTAGTTTCATCTATTATAATTGCTACAGATTTTTAATTAAAAAAACTTTGAAGTAAAGAAAAATATTGTTCAAAAACAGTTGGTAAATATAATTGATGAAGTGTAGCAGCTTGAGGAATAGCATCACCTTCTTTAAAATATTTTTTAAAAAATGAAAGTAAACTATTAACTTTTTCAAGAAGAATATTTGCAAATGAAAATGCTTTAATCAAATTCTCTATAACTTCTTTTTTTGATTCTGATACAATTTTAATAGTAAAAAGCATAACTTGTTTTTTAGATTGCTTCTTATTTTTATAAATTTGCTTGTTTTTAATATGAGCCTTCGAATTACAGTGCCTATCAATAGTGGATTTTACTTTCTATTTAACAGAATAATCACAATAATTGCAAAACATAACTCCACTATTTTTTCTAAAAATATTGAGATATTCACTTATATAAGTAGTTATAGAAACTTTTTTATTTCGATTTGCCATTATTATGAAAAAAATTATACCTTTATTACAATTTATTAGTTTTGCCATTGGCATTACAAATTTATATATATTTGAAAAACCTTTTATCATGATTTTCTAACTATATTTAAAAATTCTTAAAATATTTTTAAATAATATGCATGCAGCATAAAAATTATTACAACTCTTAAAATATTTTTAAATAATATATATGTGAGATAAAAATTATTGTGATTTTTGAAATTCAACTTAATTAGTTAATAATCATGTAGTTATACTTAGCCTATAAATTTTGT